GCATCCCTGCAGCTCATAGAGATACGACTACCTTGTCATCTGTATTTTAGATTGTTGGATAAGTATAGGTGTTATTACATTATATATAATCAGTGGAAGGATTCAGTTTCCATCAACGCCCTTGACCGAAATCGAACCTGGGACCCTTCAGTCCGCAGGCTGGTGCCCTATCCACTGAGCCAAACCGATCAGGGCTGGACGTGCTAGATTTGAAACGAACATGTCAAAGAGAATATTGGATGTAAGTCCAAGGTCACAAGTCAAGTGGGAGTCAAACCTGGATTTGTCAGCACCTAAATGCCATTTCAAATGGGAAGAGGAGGTCAGATTACCGAGAGAAGTGTGTGGAGAGTGGACAGAGAGCTCATAAGGACATTCATTCCCTTGTGAGTGTGCTACTGGGCCCCATGTGCATCTTTTTAGACATCCTTGGATGAGACCCAGTGGTAAGGTAATTGGATGGTGTACTCAGGGGAGACTTCATTGAGAAGGCGTGGCTCAATGGTTGAGCTCTGCCCAACCAGGAAGTCACAGCTCAATTCTTGGTCAGGGCACATACCCCAATTGTGGGCTTGACCCCCAGTAGGTGGTGTGCAGGAGGCAGCCAATCAATGATGTATCCATCTCTCTCCCTCTCCCTTCCTCTCTGAAACCAGTAACAAACATATTTAAGGAGGTTCATATCTCCAAGGCTGCCACAATCAAGTCTTAAAATGCCAGCCATTTTAAGGGCCCGAGGATTAATCAAGATCCAGAAAGATGAAATGATAAACTAAGCCAGGCCAGCACTAGTGCAAACTCCCACAGGGACACGTCTGCCACCAGGGTTTCTGGCAGGAATATATTTAAATGCAAAGAGAACTCCATATATTAACAGTACAATATCATCATATAAACAGTTCCTTTATTTTTTTTATGTTTAAAATAAAAATAATTTTATTTTTTATATTTCTTTAAAAGCATACTTTATGAAAAGAAACACTGGAAATATGGATTCTTTTTGAGAAATAACCTTCATCTTCACTAATAGGTATGGAGGAACCAGAGTTCTATACCAATTAATGGAAAATTAACCATTGATAAGTCTAGTTCCAACCCCTAAAAAAGGACATACACATATGCTAGAACTGATTGTCCATTCAGTCAAAACATTTCCACTGCTGAACTATATCTGCTACTGAAACTGTAAGAATGTTCATTTTCCTGGGTGTCCTATTTTGTCAAAAGATTTCGTATTTATTACATTAGTGGCATTTACAAAGAGTGGAGAGACCAGCGACAACACTCCATAGTATGTATGATCTTTCTCTCTTTTTAAATGTTCTCAATAAACTGTAAAATTTAGCAATTACATTTAGGTTTTCATAACTTGCAGGTGTCTGAGTATTTCTTTATCTGCTTCGTCCCTTCAAAATTCTTTCAATTTTTAAACAGAACAGTTTTGCTTCTTAGTGCTAATCCTGTAGAATTTTTTTTATGAGCAAATTTTTTAAAATATATTTTTTATTGATTTCAGAGAGGAAGCGAGAGGGAGAGATAGAAACATCAGTGATGAGAGAGAATCATCGATCGGCTGCCTCCTGCACGCCCCCTACTGGGGATCGCGTCTGCAACTCCTGGCATGTGCTCTTGACCGAAAGCGAACCCGGGACCCTTCAGTTGGCAGGCAGACGCTCTATCCACTGAGCAAAACCACCTAGGGCTGTAGAATTTTTAAAAGGGTTGTATGTTTCATACATTTTGAATTAAAATGTCCCCCCCGCCCCAAAATAAAACCTACACAGGATCACTCTCCCCTATAAATATTGGCCTTTTCTATGAACCCTAATTCAAATTGAGAGTGGCATTTACATGTCAAGATGTGCAGGCACAAGTTTGTGTAGAACCTGCAACTTCATTATGAAGCTTCCTCCACACAATAGAGGATTTAGTATTTTTACTCTGACCAGTTTAAACAACACAAGGAGGTTGGCACGTTTTAATAAACCTAACGTGTTTCATTGTTCTGAAAACAGTGAGAGTGATGGTGACCCTAGCATTTGATCACCCAGGCTCCTGACTTTATGCTCATTACTGTTGGCTAATTTGATAGTTGCTTGTTCAACATGCACCTCCCAGGGGATGATCAGGTGCTGCAAAAATGGCAAATTCTAGGCAGAAGACTTTGCTTCCATTAGCACTTTTGGTACAAGGGTTAGAGGGGCTTAAAGAGGAGAGTTAGTAGTGATAATAAAATGAGGGAGTGCGTTCCCTGTGGATTTCACCTACTTTGTTAGGACTGGTCCCTCCTTACTAGAGGCTAACGAGGGAGACTAGACCATGACTTGTGGTAGCTGGTGGACACTTTCAAAAACTACAGTGATGTTCTCCAATACTTTTATTATCTCCAGTTTTATGGCACCATATTACTATTATTTTCACACCATTTAAAATTCCCATTTCCATAATTCAAATACCAAGAAATTACTACACATTCTCGTATACAGTCAAAAATAGATTTACTGGAATGTTTTTAGTTACAGCTGAAGGCAGCAGCATTTACAACACTTAGCTTTTGTTACACCCATAAACGTGGAAATTGCTTGCAAAGCAACTGTAATGTGAGAAGAATCTTCCGAATGTTGATGGAACAGCTACATAGGCTTCCTGACCCCCCACCTTAATGCCAGAGTCCAAGTCCTTAAGCCACTGAAGAAGCAGTCGGAAGTCTCGTATCAGTGTTGAACTACAGACACACATAGTGAATGAGCAAATATCTAGTTTCAAATCAGATCCTTGGAATGTGGCAAAACAGGCTGGCTGTCTTGGCCTTGAACATAATTATTAAAAGCACATTTTCATTTTGCTAGAAGGGGAAAAAGATAATGGACATTCTCAATGCTCCAGTTTGAAGTGATACTTGCCTCTCAGTTTCTTGGAAAAGAAGTTTTGAAAGTTATATACATGGGTTTCATTTAAATTATGCAGCAATCTTTTATTATTATTATTATTATTGTCCCAGATTTTGTTTAATGAAGATCTCTCTCATCAAATCAAGTGCGGTATTTCACAACTGTAAGTACTGCAAGAGAAAAACACGAAAAAGGAACACATCAAAATCATATCCACATGCCATGTTAGACATAATACTTAAATGCAGCTGTGTCCACTTGGGAACAGGTAATGAGGACTGAATTTTGGGCTGAAAGGACAGATAACAAATGAGAACGGAGAAGCTAAAATAATCATAAAATCACCTGAATGTCTAACATTGGCATTTTGACTAAACAGATTATGGCTGAACCTTAGCATACAGCTGCTAAAATATTTTAAAAATAAGTAACATGAGAAAATATAACATATTAATAAGAAAGTCTGTATGTAATCTTAGTTTTTTAAAAACATGTTTGTATGTTAGTATGAAAAGGCTTGAAATATATATGATAGTTATGTTAACAGTAGCTATCACTGTGTGGAAAGATCACAGTTGAATTGTATCTTTTTCATGCTATTCCACATTTCCTAGTTTTCCGAGGACAAGCAGGAAGTTCCGAGACGCCCTAAATTATGTCCCAGCAGGACAGCAGGGACAGAGGAGATGGTTAGTTGGTGGGTAGCTGTGGGTGGTTCAGACTTCATACCCAGGACCTGGTCTTTTCCTGGCTAGCACTTGCTATAACAAACCCTTTCAGCCATGGAAGTTTTTTTTTTAACATATCTTGTCAAGAGTGGAATTCGATCTGTCCAAGGAGCAGAAAAGGATGTGACTCCCCCGAGACGAGTGTGGTGCTCACACCTTGAGGCTGATGTGCATAGCTTTACTGGGCCTCAACAAAAATCCCTAAGAGGCCGTCTTACAGATGTACCTCGTGGAAGGGGTTCCCTCATCTGACTGGTGAGTTATAAGGGACACCCTCAAGTCAGTTTTTTTATTATGATGTTATTTACCAATATGTCTTTGTTTTTTACTTTCATTTGGGGGTGGGAGGGGAACTGAGCTTATAGTGACATCTTGTGGCCATTTGATGCAATTACAGCTTGGGTTCTCATGGCGGACCAACACCATTAGATTATTTCTCTGAAATTATAAAATGGTGATTTCCACTCCAAAGAAGAGAGACCATCGCTACTTCTGGTCCCTCAGGGGTGTTTCCAGGTGATGAGAAACCTTTGCAGAAATTGTCTGAGATATGTAGCTGTCTCACAGGGTCCCCAACAGAAAAACATACTCCCTGTTTTAGGGTTAGAAGGAACATTTCTGACTTATCTGGTACACACAAGGGCTTGGTCACCCAAGTACTCCAGCCCCCCTGAATACTGTGTAGTGCCCAGGCTCCTCTGAGTCATATAAGAGAGGAGCCATGAACCTAGGAGCGGCACTCACATTTCAGACCCAAAACAATTCCTTGGCCTTGGTTGATCAAGAACAAAATTTTTAAATTATGGGAAGTCAAAACCCCAGAACCTCCCCCAAACCCTCTGTAGAAACCTGGACCAGTGCTATGAGTATAACAAATATGGGGCTGAATCGTGCATGTTTTTATCTAAAAGGGACTCTGAAACATTTCAAAGGAAATTTCTCTTTACAAAAGGGGAAATTAAACTAATCAGGACTATTTGCTATATTAAAATTACACGGGAAGCAGAAAGCACTGTCAAAAAAATACCTGTGGTATTTGTATGCATATATTATTAAAATGAATGTTTTTTGAAATTATATATAAAATTTCCAAGAATCTACAACGTCCTGATATTATCATTTGCAATTCTAGTTATCTTAAATGTGAGTTGCAGAGAAAAGCACATTTCTTTGTCAGTTGTGCTGTAATCGGATCTCTGACCATGTCATTTCAGTCTTTGTTTTTTTTTTTTTTTTTTTTTTTTTTTTTTTTAATATATTTTATTGATTTTTTACAGAGAGGAAGGGAGAGAGATAGAGAGTTAGAAACATCGATGAGAGAGAAACATCGATCAGCCGCCTCCTGCACACCTCCTACTGGGGATGTGCCCACAACCAAGGTACATGCCCTTGACCGGAATCGAACCTGGGACCTTTCAGTCCGCAGGCCGACGCTCTATCCACTGAGCCAAACCGGTTTCGGCGAGTCTTTGTTATTCACACTGGTAACACTGCTAGTGATGCTGCTGCCTCCGTGAAGCACAACAAAGAGCCTGTCCCTCCAGGACAGGGGACCTGACTTCTGCTCCAGCCCTGCTGCCGGTTCAGACTTCACGCCCAGGGCCCAGTCCTTTCCTGGCTAGCACGTGGCTCAACAAACCCTTTCTTTGTTTGGCTGTGGCAGTTTCCTGTTTATCACCACCATAGTGTATGGTTGCATCTTGGTATCTGCAGTAGTTACGTTCTATAAAGTCTCCACCAACACTGAATTAGTGAACACTAACCCATCGCTCCTACAGGAAATACAGGGTTAAATTCCTGCAAGCCCCTGGGCACAACATTTTGTCAACTGATCTCAACTGATCAATACATAGACACCCTATGTAATATATGCTATTGAATTCATGGCTGATAGCATGGTGACCGAGACCTAACTGAAGCCTATCAAACGGTCCATTTTCTCCTTCCAGCACATCCCAGCCTGCCTGCACTCAGCAATACGGACAGTGCACTCGGGGACATGCTAAACAGTGAGACCACCAACGAAGTGCACAACTGCGAGAAACATGGCGCTCACCAGAGGACCTTGTTTACACTGTGAGAGCAATACTAGAAGACGCACATGCACACACACGTCAGACATCAGCTGGGAACGTGCGCCTCAGGGACTCAAAGTTTTCACTGCTCTGAATGCAATGACTGTAAACGCAGCTCAAGTACTGAGGTGGGTAGCAGGTGAATTCACAAACCCAGAATCCACCCATATGAGTGAGGATCGACTCAATTTCTTTGCAACAAAACTCTTTTCTCTTTAAAAAGAGAATATTACCATGGAATTTTTCAAATGATTTTTTTGAGACACTTTCCAAATCTTCATAAAGTCCCTGCAAACACAGGGAAAGAGGCCTTGGAGAAAATGAGATATCAAAAATGATCTTACTTTAAAAGAATATTAAGGATATTAATGACTGAAATCAAGCTCAAATCCAAAACAGAAACAAAAAAAAAACATTCATCTGAAGAGCTTATCTAGATCTGTCCTTCAAACAATACTAAGAAATGCAAGCTGCCATTCCTTCTGGTTGATAATAAGCAGAAGATGAGAGCTGTGGCCCTGGTGTAACAGTAGCCATATCTGGCCCCAAACAAAGCACTGAGCCCTGTGTTTGCATACCATTTAGGAGCATTTTCAGAGATCACAGGCTAAGAGCTCTCGACTGGGGTCAGAAATCATTACTCACCCCTGACAGTCAGACCACATCAACTGAAAACAAATTAAAAAGGGAATTAAAATGAACCCCAGAACAAATGATACTCCCCAAAATTAACAATCCAGGAAATACTTACTGATGATCACCAACAAAAGGATGACAACAACCAACGCCATGATGGCTTTTATCTACAACACACAAAAAGCATAAGAAAGATATTAATATTAATCCTGACTTTTTTCGACTATCTGTTGTTATTTACCATATTATACTAACTCATCAGTGAACAGGCTAATCCCTTAAAAGGCTTTCAAAATAGAATTTTTCATATGAACTTGCTATTTGCATGTTTTTGTGACTAATCAGGGTTCCCCCAATTTAAGGGTTTTGCTTGCCCAGAATTTTCTGTTCAAGACTCACTGCCCAGTGGACAGTAATCAAAGTCTCCATGGACCTGGACTTCTTGTCTATGATTTCTTGCTCTCACTTCTAATATGAGACCAGGAAAAGTACGGCATTTTACCAACTCTGTTAAAAAGCTGAATCAGGATAGGACAAACAGCACCGGCATCCAACACAAATGATTTCATACACACAGTACAAGGCAGCATGTTTGTAGCCTTGCTCAAAGGATATGAGAATTCTGTTTTGGCTCCCCTTACTTTCTTCTTGGCACTTTTATCTCTGTTTGAGGAAGGGAATTTAGATTCTCCATGAATAACCTTATGTGATAAATAGTGTGGCTGAGAGCATTCTCTGTGTCAGTTTGACAGTTGTGGAGAAATCTTAAGGTTAGTCCTTAGTGAACTTACTAAAATTTTAAGCTCACATCATTTCTCTCACAAAACACCACGCGTGGCGCGCATGTACAGTGCGATTGAAACTTCTTGAAACTTCTTGGCCCATGCGCAGAAGTCGGTATTTTGTGGAAGAGCCACACTCAAGGGGCCAAAGAGCCGCATGTTGCTCGAGAGCCGCAGTTTGTCGACCACTGCTATAGGCTGCTCCACAACATGCTAATAATAAATTCTAAGAGAAACTAGTATTTCTTATAAGTTCAGGTAGCACATTATTAATAAAATGTAACTATGAAGAATTCCATGGAAACAACTTTTTAAGCACTGTTTGATTCCTTTAGTTATTTCTGTTCCCAAACTATTAATCACTCAGCAAGTATTAACGGAGTTTGGCCCAGGCTCAGAAGACATAATGGAAAGTGAGGCAGCCATAGTGTCTGTCCTCACTGAGCTTATATTCCGGGGCTTTCTTCTGGACTCTGAACAGCACGCAGGTGCTGACCAATCTTTCATGAGCTTCTGATTTACTCACTTGGCATTCCACGCCAC